CTCCGAGTTGAAGTACCTGGTACTAGCTAGAAAATGCGGATACATATTGAATTGCTGTGGTAAAATTTAGAAATTTATTTCAAAATTAAGGATTATTTCCCTCATGATCCTTCGATGTATTTGGCTCCAGTATTTGACACCCCTTTTTCAGCTCTTCAGTTTTTTTTATTTAAATATTTCAGATGTCCAACGTTTTGGCATGAACATCACTGAAGAGACATAATTTGTTGAAATGCACATCTGGTGCATCGATATTGGTACCGTATAAATTTTACATTAGTGAAAACAGAAAGATAGATGGCTTTTCGTTTTATAATATGATTGTTTATAAGATTTTAAAAATACTTAATCTATTCTGACGAAGTTTTCAGGTCTTTGCTTTCATATTTAGCCCAACGTCTGACATACTCTTTTGACAGAATTCATAATAGAAATGAATTTTGTCGGGGCTCCCTAGCTGTATTTCGGACATTTTCAAGATGATTGCATTTAAGGTCTTCATTTTCAATAATATAAACACCGGCAATGGCGTGTCCAGCGAAACTGTATTTGAAAGAAAAAGAAGAACAAGCACACTTAAGAGGATTTTGTTTTAGATGTTCAATATCTAGGCACTTCAAGTTTTGATTATAATTGAAAAGTTTAGAAGCAACAGTTTGGGAATTTTGTGGGAAATGACGGGTGTAGAACCTTTTTATGATTAAGAATGTTACTAATGTTCACAGCATCGAGGCCTATTCTTTTGTTGGCAAATTTAAGTTAAAATAATCTAAGGGTCGAGTCGGAATTATCTTCCGACACACTCTGTGGATTAAAGACCTTGTGCTTGGCAACATCAATAATCACAAACACAAAGCTTGTATATTTTGTTTATTGTATGACTGTTTCCATGACTATACCTACATCTAGATGTATTGTTAAAAAGTCCCATCACATTCACATTAGCACATTGCGGGCTTGAAAGATTCCTTACATTATTTATGTGGTCGTTGCAACCGCACGGAAAGGCCGTGCCTAGTTTCCTGATTCAGTATTCTTCTCGTTGTCTTCGGAATGGAGTACTCAAATTAGGACTTGTTGATATATTTTTTTCCAGAAAACTAACCCTCATTGAAAAATAAAGTGGTCAGGCGCATAGAAATGTTTATCAAGATGTCGATGACCCCCATTATGTATTTTATCATTTTGAATTTATATACAAATGAACGTTTTTGGAAGATACTTTAATCCTGGGTTTAATAAATAGAACAACAGGCTGTACTTACTGCAGTGGTAAACCAAAAAGAAAACTGATTTCTCTTAGTGGAAAGGGTACAGCTTGGTCTGCTTTTCACACAATAAAATATTAGCCCATATATTTTAAGACTCAAAGGGACAAGTGGAATCTGTTAACACAGCAAGAGATCTGATAGTGTTATAGGAAAAGAGTATCAATCTTCAGTGCAGAAGAAAAAAAATAATGCTGAAAATTCTTGTTTCAGCAAGATGGAGTAGCTTTATACTGCACAATGTGTCTTTGACCTGCAAGCACAAATTCATCCATTTCATTTCTAAGAAATTTGGCCTCCATGCTTAAATGACTGAATCACCCTTGACTTTTTTTTCCCTGTGAACATTTAAAAGACACAGTATATTAAAGAGAACCCAAACAACACAGTAATCTAATGACCATAAAAATGAATGCAGACCTTTTACATAGGAGCACCAGAAAAATGAGGAATCTCTCGCACCATATAGCTTTATTGATACTGCTTTTACAACATATTTTGAAGTTTTAGCATTTTATTAATTCTTATTAATCCTTTATCTATTTGCCTTTTTTATTATAATTTTCATAGACAAAAAGGACAAGATAGGCTAAGATCCCTTTTTGGCCCTGGTTTGGGGTGTCTTTTAGAATGTTGCAATAGTTAATCAATAAAAAAACCTCTGCCACAAAATGAGTATTGGTTCTAAGTTATGGGATACATAGAGGTCACAGTAAGGTCAGAAAATATGTCAATTTCCGAATTTTCTCATTTTTATGCAAAATTTCTTTCATTTTACAGCAAATTTTGTTTCGGAGACATAGAGCACAATCTTGCCTATCTACCAAATTTATATATATCATACACTAGTATCAGTTGCATCTTATGTATAAAATCTCTATGCTCTATGTTTCCCGAAGTGAAATGTATCTCAAATTTGAAGAAATTCCACCAGAATTGAAGGAATTCGGGAAAATGTCCTACTTCTGCACTCTCTTGTGGCCTCCATGTAAGCTTTGAATCCAAATTTGTGCTGGTTTCAAAACAAGCATCATTTTAAGTTCCCAAATACAAACTATCACAATTTTAATTGTGTTCTGAATTTTACATCAAATAACGGACCAGATTCGGCCGTTACCATACCTTGTCCTTTTGAAATTATGCTGCTTAACTTGTTTTGTTTGTAAGCTGATATAGACTAAAAAAGAAGAAAAAAGAACAAACAAGAAAATTATATTAATCGAAATGAACACTCATTACATTGACGCGGAAAGCCACTATATTACTGATATTTTTTGGAATAGAAATTAAAATTTTTAGTAATTAATTTAGGAAAAGTATGTATTTTGCATCAATTTTCATATTGCACAGATACTGTGAAATCACTTATTTTCGGGGGGAAATCACTTATTTTCGGGGGATGGGTTAATTTTTTTCGTTGTTTTGGTGGTATGAAGAGACTCAGAAATTTAATTACGTCTGCCACGAGATATTTAATTCCAAATGTATAAAAACCCAAAAAAATTTCATCAGCGAAATCTAATCCCAACAAACCAATATATTTTTGTCCAACCACGAAAATTTGACCTCTTGAAAATAAGTTATTTCACAGTATACACAAGTATACAACCACATAAAAAAGCTTAGGAAAATGGAGAGATGTGAAACGTTAAGAAAAGGATCAGTGATCAGTCTCATAAAGAATACAAATCGTGAACAGGACAAAAATACGGACCCCTGAAAACACCAGAGTTGAGAACAGGTACCAAGAGTAAGCAAATTCTCTCGACTGGTCACACCAACCCGCGAGCCTTATGTACTATTCAGGTGGATGGAGTAAATCATAGTCAAATTTAGTATAAACACAGTGACCTAACAATTGGTATGATTCATGTCAGACAAAATACAGTCCAAAGATAGGCTGTTTTTGAAAGCAATGTCCTATTCTGCGAAATGCTGACTTTAAACGAGGCTGTTGAAATCCTGGTAATATCAACTTATTTATCAATGCCCGTCTCGGTTCAAAAATGGATCGTACTCACAGCATGCTCTTGCGTATCGAATCAGTCGGGAGACATATGTAGGTGAAAATGGAATATTCCTACATAAATAAGGGAAGATGGCGATTGAAAAGCTGCTAATTTCCATTATTCAAGTCACAAAATTAATGCAGATCTCGGAAGTATGTATATCATTCAACAATTTTTGTAATGTTTCAGTTAATTTTGATTCATTTGCAGAACCTAACTGTTTTAACTTTTTTGATTGACAACAAAGAAATATAAAATAGCGAAATGATATCCACTTATGCAGCAAAGATTTGATTTTCCTCACTGCATTCGAGGTTACGGCGCAGATACCTAATGCTTACGATATTGCGTCTCTCTCATCTGAAACAAATAATTTCTCATATAAAATATGTCAAAACGTATGATTATTGCGTTTTGGCACTCGAAATTTAAAATAAATTCCATAAAGATAATTATGAAACAATGAAAATTCTATAGTGCGCAGATTCAATAGCCCAAGCTGTGCAAAGTTCACTACTTGTCATTTAGTTATAATAGATAATGAATTATCTCACTTTATGCTATTTATGAAAGTAAAAATTTCTAGACCTCGTTTTGTTGCCTGAGGGTGAATACAAAAATAAATCTCTGAAGTTTACCACATTTTCCACTTCATCCAAAATATTTCAAATCAATCGTATTTCTCTTCCTTTATTTTCTCGAGACTTGAATATCTTGATTTTAATTCAAGAAACTTGTTTGAAAAATTGCAAGTTTGTAAAATATTCAAATACAAACACTTAATGAAAATTTGGTATATTTCCTTGATTATTTCAAAAGTTATACAGATTTGAAATTTTGACTTAATTTCTGTCCTCTGATATATATAGGCTATAATTTTCGCGTACATGTATTTCACGAACGATAAGTTATAAGACTGTTATAAATAAGAACGCAACAGTTTTACAAAAAAAAAATATTAATAAATAAAATAAATAAAATATAGCCAATAATATGCAGGTACGCCACTTCTTTGTGAGACACATTTTTCCTTATACAATAACAGTAGTTCTAGAAACCATAATAAATAAAAACTTTAAAAAGAATATCAAAAAATCTATAATTTATGGTATAATTTACACAACTTAATTTTGAGTGAAATAGGCTTTTCAACTAGATAGTGTGACACCACGCAATACATGTAATTCTCATTCTCCTTTCGGAAGAAGGAGGGGGCTTCAAAGATGGGAAGATAAAACTCTCTTCTTTTTCGTAAAGAAAATTCTTTAAATTATATAGCGCTTGATTATCTAGATCTTTTGTTTCAACAATCATTCAATGTTGTCAAAACATTTCAGCATTAAAAAATAATGTAACGGATGACGAAGAAAATTGTATAAAAAAATAATCATGAATAATAACAATGCAATATATATATATATATATATATATATATATATATATATATATATATATATATATATATATATATATATATATATATATATATATATATATATATATATATATATATATATATAAATCCCACACAAAAATTTAATAGCCCACACATGCCCAGTCATATTTTCATAAGTCGTAATTTTTTTGAATGCAAGCTGTGTCTTATTAAATTTCATCTGCACCTTGTATGTAATGGATGATTATTAGTTTTGCTGTTTAACAAACTTCTGGGCAATTGACCCTATAGGTCATTGCCAAGTTTAACTGTATATAAAAAAGCAAGATGCGATCTTGGTCCACATTTAGCGGCTTTGAACAAGGTAATGAAATCATTTTATCTAAGTCCTTTTATTAATCCCTGCATTTAAGAACAAACTTCAACTTTATGATTAATATTTCGAGATTTGAAAAACAACTCGGAAGCACCTTTAATTTACAATTACAATGACAAATCTATGATGAGAGATATCCTTTCATTCACATCTGAGAAGAGATTGAATTTGTTTGGTCGTTTAAATTTGTTTTTGTATCCTTTTGAAACATTATGAAACACATAAGGTCAAGTAAGAAATAAAAAGCTTTCTTATTTCGTATTTCAAAAATAAAATTTCTTATGATTCAATTCTTCGCAATCTTTGGCAACAAATTGAAATCATACAAACTCAGAATTTCATTATTCTTTCATTTGAACTAAGTACCGGTATATTGTAATAAAGATTACAGAAAATATTTTTTAAAATGTATTTCTGTTACAGATGAAATTTTTCCTGGCTCTTGTGCTTGCTGTCATTGTTGTTGGTAAGACGTAATCCCTGTTTGACTTTCAAAAAAATAAAGTATAAGTAATGACTATTTATAATTAAATGATCTCAAACGATCACCGGTGAAACTTTTTTTATGAGAAATAAATGAATTTTTTTTATCATCCCTGTATTTCTGTTGCATGAAATTGTTTTTAGTTCCACACTTGTCAGACTCCTTTTGAGATCTGCAGCTGATTCCAAGTGGCATCCGGCAAAGTAACTATTTGCGTGTACATTATGCGAAGGTCTACAATGTCGATATAATGACCTTGTCAGCAAATACAATCATTAAGTCGAATGCTGACTGACGTTTTTAATACTAATTGTTAGATCAATATTTACACACTAAATTGTCTCGGATTTTTTCCGTTTGCCTGATCATGACAAGGAACACACGGCCGATGTGACCGGTCGACAGGGGATGCTTACTCCTCCATGGCACCTGATCCTACCTTTGGTGCTTTTAGAGGTCCGTGTTTGCTCTACTCCCGATTTGTATTGTTTCAATGGACCTTTGAGCTTGATAACTGTTCGTTATCTCCATATTTTAGATATGTATAAGTGTTCCTGTAATTATTTTTCTGGTTTCGGGAAATATTTCGGTCATGATGTTGCACACTTTTGAGTAGTTTAATTTTCTGTACGGAACCTTGCAGTACGTTCGAAGTCAAGGTGATAGAATTACACTTGCCTATCATTTCCTCTAAAAGGAATACTTCTTTTTGTTCTCCTCTTGCTCGCGGATTTTTCTTTTTACCTATTTATAGCTAATTATCGGTTTCGGTAACCTGCCCTTTGATTAACTTTTTTTTTTCGTTTTCTGGGGTTTTACATTTAGTGATTATCTAAAATTTTGTGAGGATCCAGACCACCGTAATAGGGCTCGGAATTAAAAATACATTTTTGTGTGCCGAATACTTTGCTCTATCGATATGGTTTATGCACAAAGTTCAGAAACATGTCACTTTTGATGGATGAACCATAGTCTGAATTTGATCATATTTATTTAATAAGTTAACCTTAAAGTTTCTTAAGAAGTGGCTCCGTGGAACATAAATGTTCTTCTCAAATCCTTGAGGTGAACCCAAGTGAAGAAATTCCTCAAACCAGCGTCACAAAACACTCTTGAGGACTTGATTTCAAATGTATATTGCCAAATTTAGAATCTTTTTCAGTCTAGATAGTACTTTGGTCCTTACTTGCAGACACCACACGCGGCAGTGACCGTTACAAAATAATCAGCTATAGTGGCTATGAGACTACCTGGGAACAGGCCCGCACTGAATGCCGTAGACAAATTGGCTGGGACCTGGTGAGAATTGACAACAGAAAAGAAGACGATGCCCTCAAAACTCTTCTTGCCGCACAATGCAGTAAGTATTATTAATCTTTAATTTTTTGACAGAGTAAATCACATTTCTGAAATATACGAGGCGGCGGTTGATTTCAAATTGTACATTTTTAAAAGCTGTATTGGTTAATGCTGCACAATTAATTGTTACTTTAATTGCTACTTTTTATTTCAATATGATGTTTTTGAGACAAATTCTGATTTTTTAAAGAAAAGAATAGATTGATAAATTCTGTATCTAAATAAGTTAACTTAAAATATGAACATTTCAACAGACCAAAAATAATTAAGCCGAATAGCCTTGGGGACTCTATTTGTAAAACACAACTTATAGTCTTCTTTACATGTGTATAAAATAATTGTTAATTTGTTAACTTGAAACTTTAATTTTTTTCCTATCAGATGAAGGAGGCGATGGGTGGTTTATAGGCGGAATGTCGGAAAATGGTGGTCTCTGGACATGGGCAGATGGGTCCCAGATGACTTACACACATTTCTCAGAGCCCTCGATGTTAGGTTCCCGCTCCCAGTTACAAATGCCACGCGATACATTGTCCCGAGACTCATTGTCAACTAACACATTGGCACGTGACCCATTGTCTCGTAAGTCGGTGACACGTGGTCGTGGCCCTCTCCGTCGCCCTCGGTACGACATCGGCAATGTTCAGTATGCTGCTATTCTGAAAGAAGAACTAGATTGGACCAAAGTTCCCTCCACATCAAGCCTAAGGATGGGGTACATCTGTGAGAGAACAACCTGTTCAAACAGATCTAGATTGTTATAAATTTAATAAAAACTGATAACATTTGAATCTACTGGTTGTTTCTTTTGCGATTTCCACAAACCTGATTCCAAAAAATAAATAAATAGATAGATAAATAAATTTATCATTTGTAGAATTTTCAAGCTTTGTTAAAACAGCATTAGTGCATGGAGTGCTTTACATATATAAAAGAATCTCTTTTTTTAAAGAATTTTTTTTTTTGTATCTTTTTTTCAACATACTAGCAATGTGCAGAATTAAGGACAATAATATCACTTCCATCAATATGCAGGAACATCTTTAAATTAATTTGCTGAAAAGCAATGCATAAAGAACTTAACCTTAGTACATCTATAGCAGTAGTCAGATTGACTTTAACAAGGAATATTTAAAATAATCAGATTTTGGAAGACGTATAGATGATTTCATACAAGCTGTGCACACCTTTATCGTCAGCAAATAAAAATGAAGGATTATGTATACTGCGGTAGAAAGTTCAATTTACGGACTTCGGGTCAACATATTCATATTAATATATGTGTCTTTGTCACTCTCGATATGGTGTACATGTATGTATTATATTTTAGTATATATATTAAATATAATGGAAGTTGTTGATATTAATTTCCGCAATAAGACACTAATTTCGACGCGTGATTTGGAATGACAACGGTCATAAGAAATTGTCGCATTAATTTTTCACAACATATTTAATGACTTTAAAAGTTTCCTTTATCAGAATCATAAAGTGGCTATGATCCGTTTGAGATCAAAGATTGCACATATTTTTGTTTCTGATTCTTCGTCATATATCTGTCAGCCCATAATTTTGTTTTTTTATCTTCCCAATGTAACTCTCGAAACTGAGTAAAAAGTCATCTTTTATTGATGTATAGTACATGTATCATCGGGTTCCTCGAGCACCACAATCAATATGCAAGATTAGGTCAATCGACATCTTTATTTTTATTCTAATCTAACCTAAACTTAAAAAAAATAGAGGGTAACAAAGAAAGAGACAAAAATATTCAAATTTTAAATGCATTTCGCTCATCCATCTTGCATACTAGTAGACTGCATATACATGCATATAAGTATTTTTATCCAAATCATGAGTACACATGCATGGATGAAAATATATGTATATCTTTTCTTATTTACATGATCTCTCATTAAAGTGATGAGTTCTAAAATTTAGCATTATTTGACTATATGTGTTTAAAATTAAAAAAAAAAAAAATCATGTATACAAGGCTATACACAAATTACACATTACACAAATGTTTCGGTGCATAAAGATTTCGAGAACATCAGTATTAAACATGCAGAGAAATGAACATGACTACCAAAGACCAAAAGGTGGGATTTGCTAATTAAATGACCACTAATTTAAGTGAATATCTATATAAAATAGTTGAATTTAGTTGAATTTTAGTGAAGAATCAATTTTTAAAAGTCTATTCATCATCAATATTTTTCTGTGAAAGGTGCATGTTTTGCTTGTATCGAATATGAGGATAACGAACAGTATTTTTCAGTTCGAAAGTCCATTAAAACAATATAAATCGGGAGCAGAGCAAACACAGACCTCTAAAAATATCAGAGTTGGGATCAGGTGCCATGGAGGGGTAAACATCCCCTGTCGACCAGCCACACCAGTCTTGTGCTCCTTGTCGTTAATCGGGTCAACAGAAAAACCTGTAGATGATTCAGTGAGAATAACAATTTGTATGAAAACGTCAATCTACATTCGACTTAACGATAGATTGTATTTGCTAACACGGTCATTGTATAGAATATGCATTTAAACGAGATGCTTGTATATTCTTTTATCTTCAACTTATTTCGCAAGTAATTTGTCAACAGCTTGATTCGCTTTAGAAATTGTTTGTACATAGAACATGCTCTAAACTCGCGTATCGAATCAACTGGGAGACATAAACTCCATATGTAGGTAATAATGGTATATTGCTACATAAATAAAGGAAGTTGACGATAGAAAAGTTGAAGTCATCCCGTTTATCATAAATTTTGTTTTTAGTTTGCTATTAATATCTTTCTCTGAAAATATCCAAAAATCAAATAGTTATTTCAGACTCTATGATGTCTTTTATTTCGAGTTCAATTGGATATACACTGTACGTCACCCGCGTGGCACAGTGGTTAGAGCGTCTGCTCTAGAGTCGCGGAGTAAGGAGTTGATCCTTACGTCGCGGGTTCGAATCCCACTGCGGGACGTGGAAACCGGTTCTTCGGATGAGACCGTATAAATCGAGGTCCCATGTCGCAGTAGGTGCTGGCACGAAAAATATCCCTCACTGCTCAATGACCCTGAGTGCCGAGTATAAGTCAAAATTTGTAGCCCTCCACCGGCAAGTGGTGGCGTCTCCATATGAGTGAAAAATTCTCGAGAGGGACGTTAAACAACAAACAATCAATCAGTCAATTGGATATACCGAATTTATAAAGTAAGAGTGAAAAAGAATATTGTTAATTGATAAAATACGGAAGCCGGTTGGTGCCAGTTAGAAAAAATATTTTATCTGGCGGCCGCCACATAAATAACTGGCGGCCGCCAAATAATTTTCTGATGGCCGCCAGATAAAAAGATCTGGCGGCCGCCATATAACTTATCTGGCGGCCGCCAGATAAAATATACCTGGCACCAACCGGCTTCCGTAATAAAACGTCGTTGATATAGCTAAATATTAAACTGAAGGCCACTACAAGATACTTCTTCTTTTCATGTGGAAGTTTTTGGATAAATTCTGCTTCATATGAATACAAAAAACAATAACTAGAAAAATCAGGTCTGCTAATAACGTTGCACGAATAGTGACCATGAAGATTTCCTACAGATACGTAGATGTTGTAAATCAGATACTCGGGTTCATTTTAATACTAGTATCAACTTTGGAGTGCTTGTGAGTTCCATTTTTATTATAAAAAAAAAAGCAGCTGTCTATGATGGCAAAAAGTCTTATTTTTAATTTATCGCGGGAAATAGCTCTATAAAGGTTGAAAATTCGTATACCTTTTGATTTTATTGATTTTTGGTTTATTTTGTAATTTTAAATTTATAAAAAGTTCCTTGAGGTTTTTTAAGTATCCACATCTGATTTACGCCACTTCTCGAATATGTTGTTCTACAGTTCTCCTAAAGTTATTCCTTCGCTGCTGTTAATAAATGAATAAATAATGATAAAAGTAGAACAACCCAGGCTCGTAGGAAGCAATTTCAGTTGGGGGGGGGGGGGCACAGCCATACATTTACAATTGAGGGGGCACTATCAAGTACCAAAAATTTCTTGACATCAGACGTCATCAGACGTTTTTATTGAGGGGGCACAAGCATACAAGCATATAGTAGCTATGTTTTCTATTGTAATCTATATATCGGCAAAATTATTGGGGGGAGGGGCACGCCCCCCCCCCGTGCCCCCTCCCCCCCCCCCGTTTCCTACGGCCATGCAATCTATTCTTATAAATTAATAAATTTTGCAAATAAACTCCGAAACGGGTGCACCAGAGTTCTTACTAACTCCTCTATGATTACACTAGATACAAGATGATGTCCGTAAACTATATTAAATAAATTTAGATTTCACTCAGAGGTACTTGGGTCTTGGTTTATAAGTATGTATGTACCATATTGATATGTAAAAAAAAAAAAAAAAAAAAAAAAAAAAAAAAAAAAAAAAAAACTTTTTTAACATATCAATAAAGAACATACATATTTATAAACCAAGACCCAACTACCTGTGATTTCACTCACATCGCGCATTAAATTAAAAGTCTACTTTCATTTTCTATAAACAGCCATGAAATAGCAAAAACGCACGTGAGTACAGTGGCGGTTCCGGTTGGCGGATCTAAGTTACGGGCAATTTTTAATGAAACTGACAACAAGCATGCAATAGTTTATTTATTTCATAAAGCTTCATCACTGAATTATTCAATCAAAACTTTATGATTTAAATGATATAAAAGAAAAAAGTTGTGATATCCGATTAAAAAGGGAAACGTGCAAATTATTTTCGTCATTCACTGATCTCAATATTGACGGAAACTTCTAGAACCACTCGGCACACCTCGGATGATTCGTACCTCATCTAACTTCGTTACGTTTGATGAAGGTGACGGAATCAGCCGAGGTTTGCCGAATGCTTCTAGAACATCATATATAGCATTGAGCCCGATGTTAAAAAGAAAAACGAGGACTTAATAATAGCTTCATGAACATAAAAAAAACTTTTGTGTGAATGGTCATTGAAATAATGGTAAATCATTGACAACACTATAAGTTGTGAGTACATTTATATATCGAAAGACTATTACTAGGTTTACCTAGTAAATTTATCTGTAAAATTTGTATATTCCTCACTGAGAGCATCGTACGTGGCAACGAACCCGAAGTACAATTTGTACTTCGTAATAAACTTGCTTACGTGAAAAGAGAAAATTGATGAATAAGGTATTGTTAAAATACAATGAAAGCTGATAAAATTTTGTACTTTAATCAATACATTTACAGTTTTTTTTTAATACAGTCTTTTGTATCAAATATTCATATGGCGTTAAAAGCTAACGTTTACAAATAACATTATATATATCCATATATATATTATGTACCCATCGATATTTAGGACAAATAATCAGGGAGATGTCAGGGGGTATTGATTAATAAAACATCCTGGTAAAAGGTATAAACGAAACATCCCTGGTTAAAAACTTACCAGTACTATCCGTACTTTGATGATTTTTATTTCATTTAAAATATACTAGCTGAAATCCCGCGCAATCGCGGGGAATTGAATTTATACCACTTACCGACAGAAAATATATTGTAGTTACTACTGGCAGCCTACAGGCTTATAGCAGGAAGAAATACTTTGTTCAAAATCCCGCATGAAGTAGATGTACGTCTCAACCCCCGCCCTTTTGCAAAAACTTGAAAAATATCAATTTCATTAATTGACGTTGATTGTGAAACCTGTTATACTATGTTATGGATGTCGTACATCAGACTGATAAATTGATTTTTTTTGGGGGGGGGGGGGCAGGGGGGGTTCACAAATACTTGGGTCTTGGTTTATAAATATGTATGTTCCTTGTTGATATGTAAAAAAAATCTGCTTTACTTTCTTTTTACATATCAGTAAGTTACATACATATTTATAAACCAAGACCCAAGTACAGGACTATGTAAAAATTAGCTTTTAACGCCATATGAATAGGCCGAGTATTTGATACAAAAGACTGTATTCAGAAAAAAATCTTAAATGTACTGATTAAAGCAAAAAATTTTGCAGCTTTAATTGTAATTGAACAATACCTTTTTCAATAAGCAAGTTATATGTATTACGAAGTACAAAATGTACTTCGGGTTCGTTGCCACGATGCTCTCACTGATACAAATTTTACCGATATATTAGGAAACCTACTAATAATCTTTCGATCACATCTTATAGTGTTATCAATGATTTACCATTACTTCAATGACCATTCACACAAAAGCTTTTTTATGTTTTTATGCGACTATAATCGCCTCGGTTTTCTTTTTAACATCGGACTCGATGCTATTTGATGTTCTAGACGCTTCCGTCAATATTAAGATCGGTGAATGACGAAAATAATTTGCACATTTCCATTTTTAATTGGTTATCACAACTTATTTTTTTATATCATTTAAATCAAGTTGTGATTGAATAATTCAGTGATGACATTTTATGAAATAAATAAACGATTGCTTGTTGTCAGTTTCACTAAAAATTGCCAGTAACTTGGATCCGCCAACCGGAAACGCCACCGTACTCACGTTTTTGCTATTTCATGGCTGTTTTTTGAAAATGAAAGTAGACTTTTAATTTAATGTACGATACTTACTATGCGAGTGCAATCTAAATATAGTTTACGGACATCATCTTGTATCTTGTGTATTCTTAGAGGAGTAAGTATAAGAACTCTGGTGCACCCGTTTCGGAGTTTATTTGCAAAATTTATTAATTTATAAGTATAGATATATAGGGGCCTATGTACTTTACTCATTCGTAGTCAGACAAATGGTAAAGTTCCTATATTTTCACAAGTATGATTAAAAGTATAAATATTGTTTATTGTTTTATGCATGTAAATAGTGGCGGATTTAAGGAGGAGGGGGATATTCAAAAATTTTGAATAATTTTAAACTTGTTTTTAAAATAATGTATTGCTACACTGTAATAAAATGTGTTTAGATGATAGACACATTTCTAAACATATTCTTATCATACTTTTTTAACTCGCTTAAATTCTAAGCATGATAAATTTCAAAACGCGTAATGGAAAGTGCTTTGAACCTAAATGCTTGCATGTTTTGATTTTAAACACAATTCTAAACACTTCTAAATTCTCGTTTAAATAGCCAAATACTTTAATGTTTAAAACAACAAGCACTCTGAGAGTATTGCATTAGCAATACTAGTCCCCTACCGGCAAGTGTAATCTGGTTCCAGTTAAGAATTGAAAATGCCATAATTCCGTCAAAAATCATTGAAGCGGAACGAAATGCAAACTTGATCTATAAGTTATCAAGGTAAATTCACATACCAAAAATCAGCTCAATATCTCCAAGCGTTTAGAAAAAAATCGCGGAAAACCCTTAAAAATTGAAAAGGTCGTAATTCCGTCAAATATCAATGAAGCGGAACGAAATTCAAACTTGATCTGTAACTCATCAAGATACACTCACATACCAAAAATCAGCTCAATATATGCAAACGTTTAGGAAAAAAGTGCGGAAAACCAAGTGGGACAGACTGACAGACAGAGGGACAGACAGACGGACAGACAGACAGACAGACAAACGGACGGACAGACTCAGATGAAACCTATAGTCCCCTCCGGTTTCACCGGTAGGGGACTAATGAAGAGAAGCCGGAATATAACAGGTGTGTCCATTATAAGTTAGTAACATCCAGTTGTTGAATTGTCTGCATTTTGTATCACAATACAAAGTTAATATTTAAAAGACTCCAGGTACGGTATGCGTCTTGTAATTATGTAATGCAATATTTATACGGTTCACTATTTCAAATTCGTCGTGATGTAAACAGAACAGAAGAGTATGAGGATAAACTTGAAAGTATTCTCTATGGTAGTATAATTTATCTTTCATATCCATTAATAGAAATGAATTTTGAAGTTCTTTCTCTCAACTATCCAATTACGTTAACCTGCAAGAAAGGACTTGGCGTTTATGTAACAGTATGTCATTCTTACTAAACATTCTGATGTTTTACTTTATAATAACCGAGCATAATAAATATGTTAATGCATCTTTATTTACTATCATTAATGAATAAATGATATATGACACCCAAAGACATCCTGGATATAGACAAGCGCAACGTACGCTGTTTACTTTGCTCATCATGTTCATTTTATATGATGAACAAAAGCATACACGTATACCTTCTAAAGCAGTAATAATTAAGAGCCTTTACATGTATTTCTCTATATTTCTAATGTGACTGTCATTTCTTTCTTGAAAACTCTGATGACTCTTTCTGCACTGTAAACTAGCTGCAGAACTGTAGCTCTCTGCTTGAGAAAATTCGGACAGACAAAGCTTTGAATTTTCTCAATCATGTAGAGAGCTACAGTTCTGCAGCTACAGTGTAAACAAGTCTGAAAGTACGCATACTTTGTTCAATTAACAGCGAATTAACATCGTCCCATGACCTAATATTTATAATTCTATGTGACATAAGTCTTCTTTTGTCCCGAAAATAGACCAGGAGAGAAATGCACACAAAAATAATCCTTGTTTCTTAAACATGCCGCCATCCCATAAGACATTGAAACTGCCGCCCCGAGAGTCCCATCGAGTTTGAGGCCTAATTGACTTCATTAGTAAAATTTATTAACCTACAAGGTGCCACTGAAGCTAAATTCCTTTGCAACTGTTAAAGATATTATGAATGAAACTCTGTTGGGTAAATTTTGATACAGACTTTTGCGTCAAAATTTCGAAAATTTTGATACCCCGAAAAGTTTTCGAGGCATATGTTTGAGGTAAAGGAGCACATTTATAGATCGTTTTTAACAGTCGGGGGTTGCTTGGTGGTATTTATCTTCCGTAAAAATATATGATAATAATTTGAACTAACACGTCTATTGTCTTTTCGCCTATTCGGAACCGCCACCCAAAATGTCAGACATTACCGCCATCCCGGCTGAATGTATCTGGTGGATTATGTAAAGAAGCTTTCTGTGACATACGAAGCTTTGTCTTTTCTGGTCCAGTGTTTCTTTTTCATAAGATTTTTAAATACCAAAGCACTTTTTTGACTATTTTCTAATTTTCTTGACTGTAGTTTCTTCATTTCAACCAGATATAAACTGGTTGAATGAATATTTTATAAAATTTGTTATTCTCTGTTTTAACAAACTTGCATGTACGAGGTTTCTTTGTTGTAAATTAAAGTTTAAAATTGAATCGGTCCGCTGATTTGCAAACGAAAGACAGACGACTTAACAAGCCTTTGGCTCAGGCGAGCTAAAAAAAAAATTACGGAAGAACACCCCCCTTCCGCATAACAAACGAAATTATAAATACAAATACGTTAATTTTTTTTAATCGTAAAAATATGAAATATATCAATGTCACTGGTTTGTGAGTATTGGTAAATTTGCGTAGACGTCTTTATAATATTTTTAAATTGCGTATTGGCAATATGTTTACTGCAGTTAGTCTGACCCGTTCAGGGGGGGTGTCACTATTGATCAATATCGTGACCCCTGTACGAGAAGTCGCCATCTTGAGACTTTGACTGCTCGCTTCCTGCTTGCTGTCCAACAAATAAGAATCTTCCGGGTATTGAATCAAAACATTAAGACTACCAGATAAATTTGGAGAATGTTTTACTGCCCGGAAACAACTTGACTTGTTCCGATTTTCAATCTGGAAAATTAAACTTGATTATTTTTGCCGCGGAAGATTGAGGACAATAAACACACTGCACCTGATGTGTCATAAGTAGGCGAGGTGGGTGAAGCATTCATGTTTCTTTCATTTCATTATGAATACAAGTTTTTACAGCTTAATTTTGCAGAGTTTATATTTTATTTTTGTAATTTCAATTTGCTTTGTGCAGTAAATACACGAAATGATGGTTCTTCGATCATTTCCGGATTGGGAGTTTTGTTGACATATAGTCCATTTTCTTTGAATCTTGATATCATGCCCGTTCAGTGAAATTAAACAAGTCCTGTAACAATATTTTTATTGAAAAAAATTTTTTTTTTTCCCCACACAGCTTATTTGATTTGTTCGTATTTCACACCCATACTTATGATCATGATTAAGCAAATTTAATTGACAGAAGTGAATGGTCATGAGCATAGAGATTTAAATGCACACTAATGATATGTTTATGCTCAAAGGAATTAAATAATGAATTCAAATAATTAACACACAGTCTAGGTATAAACATGATAAATCTGTATATTTTCCTCTTGTAAGAAAATGTTGGTGTTATTCCAAAAGCACCGGGCCATCGGATTGTGGCAGTCAGACGGTGGTTTGCTCGACAGTGGCCAGATAGCTCAATTGGTAGAACACCTGACTGGAGATTCGGGGGGCCGGGTTCGAATCCCGGTCTGGTCCATCACATTTTTATCCTCTCCTGTTACATTTGGTGCCGTGCCATGCCCTGGAAGTGACAGGTGAAAAGATCTGCAAGGGAAGAGTCTGGGTTTGTGTCTTTGGAGTCCAGAGACCTTTAACGAGGCAGGAATGTGGCTGTCAGATTGGTTTTATGCTGGTGGAAAGATAGCTAAGTTGGTAGAGTACCTAACTGGAGATTTAGTGGGCCTGGGAGGTCCTGGTCTGGTCCATCACATTTTTCTTCTCTCCTGTTACAGGATAAACATGATAAATCTGATGAAAATGGATTCAGTCCGATGATGAAGTCACTATATTTGGTCTGAAGGCTTCTCGGTTAAGGTTCGGTTTTTCATCTTAATTTAATCATTGGTATTAATATACAGGTGACTCTATAAGTAAACTCAGAAGTTCAAGGGACCAATCAATACTGGTGTGTTTGTTTTGCTTTCTTTCATTTCTACTATGACTTTTATTATGGTTTTCTAACCTTTTATCAAAACATCACCAGTTTGTGAAAGTGCAAGAATGCATATCAATAAAACACGCCTGAAATTCGTAGTTTTTAAAATTGTCAAATAGACTGAAGAACTTTCTAATCATGCTTTTACAATACATGGATTTCATAACATACAAGATATGGAATTCTACTGAAATTTTGGATGGATATAAACTTCCAACACTGCATTTATGCTTCTTTAAATTGATATCCTTTGACATGATATGTATTATCTGTATAACTGTGTCTTTAATCCAAAGAAAAAAATGTTACAAACCCCTACCCCTTAAGTATGAAAGGGGGATGGGGTTGACCTCACATTATGAAATCCCAGGAGTAGACATGATGGCTAGCGACTCTACCAGAAATACTTTCCATTTCGCAAAGCTTAATTAAAAGGGAATCCAGGCAGTGCATCATGTCAAGAAGTACAGAAAACCCAGAAAAAGAGTGCGAATCTTGAGATTTTGATCATCAAAAATAAAAATTGTTATCAGTTTTGTGAAATGTAAACATACTAGTTAGAGTAAAACATGCTTGTAGTGAAATGCTAGGGATAAACAATTTTGATTTATTAAATTATATTAACATACTTTGCTATATTTCTGTTAAGGTTATAATATGTTATAAAAGGACAGGGAATGAAAATGACTTTGCTTTAACTTGTTTAAATTTGAATTCATTATAAGCATGTTCACTTTCACCATGTTTTACTGTATTTAAGATTTTACTCTTTTTTTTGGAGGGAAAAAAACAACAAATATTAAAGCGTACATAATAACTTTTTTATTTTATTTCAGATTTCATCAGTATGCCTCCCCCACCCCCACCACCTCCTGCACCACCTTCTGCTCCTGCGGCTCCACCCCCAGCAAAGGCGGCCCCCAAAAGTAAAGGAGGAGGTGGAGAAGTGAATAGAGGGGCCCTCCTTGGGGAAATCCACAAAGGGGCAAAGTTAAAGAAGACTGTAACCAATGACAGAAGTGCACCTGTTGTAGGAAGTGAGTATTTTTTTTAAATTTTAGAGTGTGAGTGGATAAACACAGGCAGCAATGTTGGCAAGATTTACCAAAAAATATTAAAAAAATAAATTGAGAAACCGAAAAGTTTGATGTCTAAACTATACATGAAAAAGTTCCACCCCTTCTTTGACTTCTGCTAGCCTCTTTCTCCATAGCAGGTGAGACCGCCAGGTACTGGTTACCTGTACTGCATATTGATTTGAAAGTGAGTTTTTAATATATGGAAAGGATTACTCTGTGTAGAGTTTCATTCCTTGAAAAAGCTTGCTACAATACATGATAAAGTCTGGAAAGTTCTCCTTTTACATGATTCAACAAAAATGAAAATGTCATTTATTTGGAACAGAATTTATAGGACTTTTTTAGCTAAAAAATTATGTATTGTGATGAAAAGGCTTAGAAGTTGCATGTTTTTCCAATTAATTATCATTGTACTTTTGTAGAATCAGAATAAAATTTGTTCACTTTCCATTGGTGGATCCAAGAATTTTTTGGGGAGGGGGGTGACTTGGAAATTTTTTGACAAGCACAAAGAATAAAAACCTGTCCAATTTCTTTTTTTTTTTGGTGATTTTGCCGGGGGGGGGGGGGGGGGGGGTCAATTTTTGCTTATTATATTATATGATTTCAATAACTGAATGCCCCTTGGGGTTAGGGTTCAGATCCCTAGCCTTCTCTGTAAGACCATGCATGCCTTCAAGCTTTCAAACTTTCCTCATTTCAAATGTTCAAAAATACAGCAGACAGTAATTTGATATCTTCTACATCTGCAGCCAGGGTGATTTAAATGTGTTACCTGAGTAAAAAATATGAAAAGTGAAAAGTTATGAGTTATGACTTATCAGTTCACTTTGTCCTGACTAGGGAAGTTATATTTGATAACAAGGTGCAGTATTGAAAGGGTGTGTTCCCACTTCAACATGAATTAGAAAATTTTATGTAGCTTACAAAAAAAAAGATACTTGTTAAAACAGATTTTAATTATTAATTAACTTGTAATGTAAAATCAATTTGTCTAACAGTTATATTAGTATAAATTAATTAGAAGAGAATATTATTGATTTTTTTAAATGGAGTTGGAGCTAGAATATATATATTAACTTTTAAAATATAGAATCACAGATTTTGAAAATGGAGAGTGCTACATATAGAGGTTCTGAGTCTTTTTTTTTTTAAACCAAGAAACCCCGAAGTTCAACTTTTAAATCATGTAACCTCATCCAATTAGGTGTATTTTTGTAGTATTAATTTTCAATATAAAGTAATACTGGATTTCATATGTATATTGTACAATTTAACAAAATATCCAGGTTAGAAATAACAGATGGCCTGCTGTCCTAAGGCCAGTAAACATGGTAAATTTTGAAGTTTGATCATTGCATTACAATTTACAATATGATGAACCCGTGGTATGCTACCAAAAAAAATCTTTCATAGCCCAATTATAAGTACAGTTGATTTTGTAACAAGAAGTTACTGAAAAGCACAATTACAACCCTCAATATACTGTATGTGTACTTTAAAAAGCTGGCTTCATATTTTAGCAGCTTTGGCGCAGACAACTATGTGCTCATTCATCAATACCGCTAAGAAATCATTTATAAGTACAATATATGGCACGGACATGTATAGCGATAATTCTTGATTTTGCCAACAACTCCATACCCAGTGATTGCGCTAAATTTTGAATATGCCAATTCATGTACACGTACAGTATACATTATCATAACAACATTTTCAAAGCATATTGATGTTGGAGGGTTGGCTTTGTACTACAGTTTAATACAAGTGACAAATGGGAGAGTTAAGCTTGCCCAGTGGAAATAATCAGCATGGTCAACAGATTAACTATAGTGGTAGGACCTTCTGAAAGTGTGATCTAGGCAAGGTTGATATAAGGCAGTGGTGCAATACCTCCCCCCTCCCCCTCCTTTAGAGGTGAAATGTTGAATTACCGAATTTGAGGGACATTAAATTATTTTTGAGTTGTAAAATCCATTGGTGGTGCATAGTATTTTTCATTGCTAAATATGCTACAGAGATGTCCAATGGTTACAACCTTGTTAAATTGACCCAAGTCAGAGCATTCAAAGTTGTAAAATCTGGCATTTATTTATTTATTGGTCAGTTAGCAACATCAACAAGTTTGTACAACAAATGCCAGAGAATTGATTATATTGTAATGCTTTGTATACCACATCAGGTTCATGTTTGCATTCAAGTGTAAAGCTTGCAAGTCATGCTTCAAAAGAATCTTCTGCTGCAGACCTGAATGTCATAACTTTATTATTATCAGAGTTATTTGTTTTATAATTGCAAATCACATTTCCCCCCTCATCCAGTGGCATTGTATGTTACATAAGAAAATCAGTTATGAAAAAAGAACTTTCACAAAAACAGTATTCTGAATCACTCTGTGAGCAAACATGATGCATGTACACTGGGATGATAATGTTCATTTCATCGAGACAGGTAGTACTTAGACAGCATGAGAGATGTAAAAAAAAAAAAAATTGATTGACCTCACAAATTTATCAGAATGGAGTTATTTTGTATATATCTGAAAGATTCTTAAGTTTGCTGAAATATAATGAGTATTGTGCATTGTTGTAAAATGTTATCATTTATTTTCCTGCTGTTTCACATTTATAGTAAGAGGTTGTTGGAACTATCAGAGGTGGCAGGTCAAAGGTCACAGTTCAAGTATCGTACTGTATGTACATCTGTTGGTAATTCAATGGAGAAAATGTGTCTTTTTCAAGGAACTTCACTACATATATGGAAAATATATATACGTCCATGGATTTGTTCCCATCAAAGACAGATATGAATCTGCATTGTTTTGACAGATACCTTGTTCTTTGTGAGGGTAGCTGATAAATCATACTGAACTTTAACTCATTACCTAAATTGTTTTGGCAGATGCGAAGAAGCCATCGGGTGGTGGTGGTATGATGGGGATGCCAATGACCCCAGGTGGTGGTGGAGGGAAATTTAACACAGTCGCTGCACGACCCACCAGTGGCGCCTCAGATAGAAACATTCCAAACTCGTGGAACCGCAGCCATGATGATAGTAAGTGTTCAATAGTTTACTGTGTTAAAGTAGGAATAATAAAACTTGTAGTAATGTACCTGTAGTTGTACAATCATGATAATGTACTGTCTTTGGATATATCTAGACTGATTAATTTAATGAATTTAAGATCTCAAAATAAAATGCTGTACATTGTAAAAGATACATGTATATTTGTTTGTATTAAATCATATAATATGTTAATTACTGTGATATCAATTTAATTTGAGGGAGACAATTTTCACATATATGCAGGGTCCTCACCAGATTTTTGGAAAGGGTGCTGGGGAGGGGTTTTGAATAAATTATGATCAAATACATTTCAAACATTCTCTTTTATATTTACATAAACACTTACAATAAATACACATAGAACTTTGAAGTCACTAATTTTCATGGGGGTTAATTTTCATTGTTGATTGGTATAAAGAGACCCACAAATTCATGTCCACCACAAAATGTAAAATTTCATATTCATAACTATTTGACAATTCTTCATCCACGAAATCAAATCCCCATGAATCCATAGTTTTTCCTTAAACCACAGAAATTTGATCCCATTAAAATATGTGATTTTACAGTAGAACTAGGTTTTCTAATCTGAATCATGTGGAAAAAATTGGGTATGCACATTATACAAGCAGCCATGGTGGTATTAAATGTATCGGTGGTTGAGGTTGTAAAAGGGGCAAAGGTTACCCACTTAATTCCCCAAAATTGTTCTCCTATGAAGTAAAATGATTTCACAGTTGCACATTATTTTGAGTGTTGCAGATAGATGTACCATCCTTAGCATTTAACTATAGTTAACTCATGTAGTTTAGTCTGTGTAGTGTGTGTAGTTCTACACTAAGTTACATGTGTCATAATTTTGCTGTTCTTGTATTCTGAAATAATTGTAAAGTCTCAATATTTTTCTATACTTTAAATGCTCTTTTCTTGTAGAAATGTCAAATCTTGCATAAGTTCACTCAAGTCACAAGCTACCAAGTTGCTTTTTATTGGAGAAGATATGAATGGCTAAACCTTGGCAGCATTTAATACATGTATATGTAAAAATATTGAATTCTAAGATATATGAATTAGTGGTCCAAACCCTTTTATGAGTTTGAGCTTAAGCATTAAATTTCAATACTGTAAACCAACTTTCTTTCTGCATTTGACTAAGGTGTGCCAATTTTTTGCAACGATGGAGAATTGGCAAGATCTGTAGATTTAAACAAGTGAATTGCTCTGGTGGGACAGAAAAGATAACATTTGACCAGAAAAAAAATTGCAAAAAGAAATTGCTGTGCAGCAGATATATTTATGTCAAAAATGCAAAAGGAGAAAAGGCACATCAGAAAGCTGGAAAGTTTGATATCTGTGTCATGAACAAAGAGAATCAGAATTTTTTTTTTTTGACAGTCCTACAGTGTTTTCGATCTGAACTTTTATTTCTATACATACATTTGAATATCTTCTTGCACAGGGTGCACACCCAAGGAACTTTTTTACAACTTGTACTTTGGAAATGCCTTTTGTTTTACAGGAAATGATTTGTCATATTTTGATTTAACAACTCTTTCAGATCAAGTTACAAAAAATTTACCTGACAAAGCTCGTAAATTTAGTCTTGGTGGGGATACTCACACCAAAACGAAACTGCGGCATTCCCAGTCTTACTCTTTCGAGAACCAGGGTAATTTTATAAGCATGGGGATCAGCGGTTATAAACACAGTACATATTAATAATGTTTTATCAGGAGGTAAATCATCAAATACCCAGTCTGAATAAACTCAGATTTTCTTTTTTTTTCCCCTGCATGTTTGGGTCTGAGACAATGAGTGGGTATAGGACTTGGGCTAAAAGATTTGAGAAGATTCTCTTTGTATTGTGTGTTGCAAGATGACAGGACTAATGCAGTGTACATGTATTGATATGATTATAGAGTTTTATATGGAAATTGTAGAGGAAAACATAACTCAGCGTTAAGGTTAGCTTAGGGTTCAAAGTTTGTGTCACCTTTGCAATGAACCAGAGAAAAACTTCACAACTCTAAATAGTTAAACTCAAGAACAAAGAAAAATTTTCTACTTCAAATATCTGAGTGAAAAATGAATATTTAACTATATGAACAGATGGTAGGAATTTGGGACAGGTTGTTGAACACATATTCATGCCATCTTAGTATGTTTCAAAATGGTACATGACCAAAGGAAAGCAAACAAAATCTGGCACTTTTTGCTAATCACCAACAAAGGGTATATATACAGTTAAACCTTGATATCTTGAGCTCAGTTGTACCAAAGAAAAACTTTGAGATATTCAAGGAATTGAGATATTGGAGTAAAACACTTTAAGAATTAGTGGTTGGGATTTCTAAATTGCTTCTACAGATAAATGGTATTTGAGATATCAGTGTTCAAGATACCTACTAGGTTCAACTGTATAAATTAAATGTGTAGGTTCTTAATTTACTAACCTTTTCCTTGACATTTAGATGTTTTAATATCACTAATTTGTTGTTGATCTAGAGCTTACCAATCTAATACTGAACTGACATTTTAGGTTTGTAGTTCTTGTCATTCAGGTTGAGTGTTTTCTTTTACAACGGTTAATGGTGTTTTAATTTTTTGTGCAAAAAAAGAAAAAAAAAAATTAATTTAGTGTCAGATTTGTTATTAAGTACCCATGTTCATTTAAGTGCATGGTTACAGATGTGTATACATTGAAAGGTTATTGTCAAATTAATTTATGGACATGTACATATTAGGTAAGATTTGTTAAGCCATATTTTGGGTCATAAATCTATTTTTAGTAAATTTGACCTGTAATGTGTCAATAATGGGGATAAAAGCTCTCTCTCCAGATATTAGGAGACCACAAACACTGATGACTCCTCAGGTCACATGACAGGAAGTAATAGCTGTTACCACAGGAACTTCATAATTATAATAATAACTGTTCATACAGAGAGAGAATGTGTGGTTGTCTGTCTTATCATTTTCAGCCATAGTTTTTTTTTTTCCTGCTGCTTAGAAAAACAAAGCTTTATTTTATCTTAGGTTATTCAGCATGTTCAGAGACAAAAAAGACATAAAAAGCATATTGTTCACCTGGTGGGGTCTTAAACATACCATGTATATATGGAATAGGTATTTGGTTATAGCTCTATATATAGACCAAAAGGAGATGGGTGAACAAGGCGTGCAAAAAAGTCTATAGCTTAATTCAGAAGTTTAAAATTGTATTCAATTTGAATAAATTGAATTTAATATTCAGAGTAAAGTTCTTATTATTGAAATACACACATTGTATATGAAATTATGACAAACAAAACATTTCATGGAAATATTTTTTCGGCAAAAAATTTTCTATAATCATGATAATTTAAAAAAGTATTGTGGTATTCTTGGGGTTCAAACCCAGGCAGTAAAAATCCCAAGTAATGTACATTGGCAAATATAATCACAATGATTTTGATTTCATTATGTTCGCGATTCATCATTTTTCCGCAAAATTAAACCCATAGTGAATGCTATCTTTAGTTTTTAAAAACGTTTAAATGCTTATGCGAAATTTAAATTAATTTCTTGCAGCATGAAATTAAAACCATGGCGATTGGTACTTTTTGAGAAATCAAAAAATTTTAACACCTTGGAATTAAAACAACTTACAGTATCATTTTTCATTGAGACTAATGCTTTAACCACTACGCTACACAACTTATGACAAATTGTGGCATTTTATATCATATTCATGATATGACCTTTGCCTTATTGGACTTCAAATATTTCTTAGAGAGATATGATAAAAGTGCATTTTTTGGTATAGTGGGTCTTTGCTTCATGTTTTTGTCAACCAACTTGAGTAAAAAAAAAACATGCAGCGAAGACCCACTCATTTGGAAAATTGTAGTGTTGAGATTTTTTCATAGAGATTTAATTTTTCTCCTTATTTGTCTCATCATAGGTATTTTGCTTGCATTGTTCGCCCATCTTCTTTGGAATAAATGAAATATAGAATATTACTACACCAAGGAACGCAATACTGTTTGTTGTTTTTAGTTTTGATAAACCATCTACTGCTGAAGCTATGCTTACTGACATCATGAAATTTCATTGATAAGATTTATCTGTTATCTGATTTATTATTTGTTAATGGCATGATTATCATTAATTATTATAGGCAAAGCAAATACTTCATTTACTCTAAAGAACATTGTATGCTGTAGAATATTGGATAATGAGATGCATAATCTAAATTGTATTCAAAACCAAATTTTTTTTTGTTTTGAGAGAGATAGATACAAATTTAGCTGAGCTATTATAGGTTTATGTTTAAGAAGTAAAATACAGGGAAATAGATAAATATAAAAGCTGAATAAAGATAAGAAGGAAAGAAATGACATGTAGTGTATTTCCTGGTGCAGTTTCCACGAATATTTTGAAATATACTTGTGTTTAAAATTATTATATAATAAAATTAATAATTATATATATATATATATGTGCACCTCAAGGGCATATTCAAAAGGGAGTTGAACTTAAATACAGTAAAAAACCAACCAAGAATTAGAAAGATTGAATTTTGGGGGAAGAGGGAGGAGAGAAAGAAAGCCTTGCTCTAGAATGACTGTCACATGCTTGTAAAAAAGTCAGGATCAAAATTCTTCTTAGTTGTATAAGGAGTTATTTTTCCTTGATAAGAGTGGGGGTTTGATAAAGTCTAAATTTATATATCTGTTCTCCATATACCATACACACGCCAACTCATAGAGTTGCAATAAACATAGTCCTTAGACCACCATGACAGAAAAAAGAGGAAATCACCCCCTCCCCCTTCCCCTATTCCCTTCACCACACACACAAGTTGTACTCAAATATGTTAATGTTTATTCATATAATTATATACATATATGTGCATAAAATGTTGACTGCAGAAAATGTTGCAAAATTGTTTAGTGCACTAACAAAATTTCCAGAATGATTAAAATGAAGAATAATGGTTTATTCTTTTAACATTTGTATCTCCTTTTTAGGTGAGTCCAATAACTCCATGGGAGGTGGAGGTGCTCCTATGGGCTTAGGAGGATTATTTGCTGGTGGTATGCCAAAACTTAAACCCACAAAAGGAGGAGTGAATATTCCACAGAGGACAAAGATGCCTAATGGACCTGTGCCAAATGGACCTTCAAATATTGGTGGGGGACCACCCCAACCTCCTTCCATACAAAATAAACCTTCATTTAATGGACCTTCTGTGAGACCAAACTTCAGTAATGGACCCTCAGGGAGGGGAGTAGGAGGACCTCCACATCCACCCCCTTCACAAAATAAACCCTCTCTAAATGGGGATTTGGTTGGTAGACCAGGTCCTCCACCTCCCCCTCCCCAAACTAGCAAACCTGATTTTAGTGACAGTGTTTCGAGGCCTAGTGCAGGTCCACCCCCTCCTCCTCCACAAACAAGTAAACCTGATTTTAGTAGTGACGTTCCTCGACCTGGCTCAGGACCCCCCAAACCTCCCCCACAGAATCGAAAACCTGGTCTTCCAGGTCCACCACCAGCCCCACCAAACTCTTTAAAACCGAAACCAGATAATAGTGCACAAAATGGATTAAGTGGAGGAATGCCTAGAGGGGTGCCCCCTCCCCCTCCCTCACGTCCGCCACCTGGTGGAGGGAAGTCTAGGCCATCGTCTGGCTCACAGAGATCATCACAGGTCAGACCGCCATCTGTGGGGCCTCCTCCCCCACCACCAACACTGCCCAACAACAGACCACCTAGCATGGTGGGAAGGCCTCTTCCTCCCCCACCGCCAGGTGTAGGTGGTCCTGCGGTAAGTTCTAACTTATTACTTTGCTCATTATGTGACATATTTTACATTTACTGGTAAGTTTCACACTTAATGGATCTTTTTTAACAACAGTCCATTAGTAGTGTTGTTATGATAGTCGTTGACTATTGAAAAAATCATTGCTGAAGGCAGTGAGTCGGTGACAATTGATAAACATTTTTAACCTCAGTAGTTGCTAAATAAGTAGATTTTTTTTAAAAACATTATCAATGAAGTTACTCTATTATTCAAGCATATGGCAAAAATCTTTCTAACTAAAATGGTTAGAATTATCTGCAGATTTCTATTGAAACTTTGTTTTTATTCATGAGGATATCTTTTACTCAGATGAATATAACATATTTATTGACTTTACTTAGTATATTGATCAAACTAAATCGATTGATGGCTAATCAGTTGTAAATTTGGTCAGATTTTGCACAGTTACTCAACAGTCAAACAGAAGTATGCATATGTAATTTCCAGTTCTGATATATAAGTCAATACTCTACCTATACAATCATGTACTTCTGAGGTCTGCATTTGTTAATGGAATTGTAAGAATTTGCATTTCCATTTTTTTCATTATATATTATTGTTTTAGTGTACTTGTGTATGTCTGTACAACATCAAATGAGTATTATTTACATACTTTTCCCCAAGACAGAAATGACCAAACTACGGGAAAGTGACATCCTGTAACATGCGTATTGTAGATATAGAGGAGGTTTTATGTCTCCTAACTAAAGACAGGATAAAAGCAACTCTCTAATGGAAGTAGAAAATGTAGGGAATTTTTTTTTTAATATTTTTTTTTTTTTACCTTAAGGTAGAACCTATGTCGGAAAAGTCTTTGTCACAAGATTTTCAAACTTTTCAAAATGATAAATTAGCACTTGCTTATCAATCAGTTAAAAATATATGGTATGTTTCCTTATTATTAAATGTAATACAGCCTGTGCAACTTGGAATGATAATTTTACACTGCGACTACATATTTTCAGCCATTTTTAGGGGTACTGGTCAATCATAAAGAGAATATAGGAAATCACAAAAATACTTCTTCAAACATCGTCGTTTACAGACTTTTTTAACTGAACCGTATTAAGCAATATTATTCAAGAATAAATTCTTTTTTATTCAATTGACATAAAAGATTAAGTCCACATTTCAACTAATATAGGCAAATTTGCTCAATATTTTTTGAGTCAATTTACCACCTAAATTTGTAAATATTTTTCAAAAGTCTTTGTCAGAATGTTTTCAATCTTTAATATGATGAAGAACATACCTAAATAATTACAAAAAGTGATTAATATATATATCTTTCGCCACAAACGAATGAGAGACACTCTATTTATTAATACTTCTTTTGTTGACCTTTTTGCACTGACACAGGATTTAATTATTAAATGACTGTTTTAGGGTTTTGTTCTGATTAACAATGTGAATATTTATCCTAAAATGTAATTATTTTTTATTTTAAAAGATAATATTTTAGGGAAACATTATCATTATACACCAACCATTATGAATAATAAAGAAATAATTATGAAAGGGAATGCACATCATTTCATGATAGACATTACAAAATTTACAAACAATTTTTAACAGATCTTTGACTCAGATACATTTCATCAAGATATTGTATAATACTGTTCGTTATCTCCATATATTTCATACTATTTAGATTTCTTAGGATTTTTGATTTCCTTCAAAATAGTTGCATGCCATTTACATTATCACAGCTGTGTAACCTCATTACATGAGACAGTCTTGGAGAGTAACATTAAATTAATTGTGACGTCATAATGGATCTAGCACCAAAAAGACGCTCTAAACAATATGATGTCATACGACGTAGGTTCTACGTTAAGAACAAGATTACAAATTGTCATACTGCTATTTAAGCATTTGCTTGAGTAATGTTTTTTAATTCATATAATGTATGGTATCTAAACCGAGTTGGGATTTCAGGATCCAATATTTTTCGGAGGATCCAATATTTTTCTTTCTCAATGAACATGATGAAGCTTTGATTTATTAGATGCTTGCTTGTTTTGTTTTTATATATCCTGCTTGATCACTTGTCAACAGTTATCAACTTTAAAGATAAGTGGGTATAGTTACATTACAGTCGTGTTTCCTTTTAAATCTATATAATCGTAATTATAGAAAATATCATTAATGTAGGTTAAGTAGTCACTACAAATTTAATGAGATCTTAGGTCAACAGCAGTTTAAGTCTTTGATCAACACATTGAATCTGCATTCTCCTTTTCACGATTTGATATTTATAACAGAAGTAGAGCATGTTACCATTGATATGGTACCATAGGCCTCTATACAATTTTACTGTGATCTGAGTATATATATAGGACATGCTTTTACAGAAGTGCCTCTTGATTCACTTTATGTACATGTAAACACACAGTTAATGATAAGAGGATGATTGTGCACTTAACACAGGGTCTCTGTCTTCCTTTTCAACATACTTAATAGGGGGAAATGTTTGTTATTTAGTTAGATTATGTTCCTGCTCATAATGTTTTGAAAAGCTGAATATTTGTAAAAATGGTAATATAGCAGATCAGCCATAAGAGTCTGAGGTGTCTAGATTATGCAACAGTCTGCTATGAAATGTATCTTTAGAAATGTTCAAAATGGCCAATTTAGAATTTCACAAAAATCAATAAATTACATCATGATTTCTTGTATTTAAGAAAAAATGATTCCAAGAATAAAATGGAAACATTGGATAAAGCATTCATATGCAATCATGTTCAGTATTGCCTGAAATACAAATACTAGGGGTTATCAAAAAGTTTGTGGACTGACGCGATAAAATTCAGACTATGTAGTGCGTTCTTACAAAATTTATAAGGAACATAAAACAACAAAAGTTTAAGAAATGTTGAAAATTTTAGCTTGAAAAAATTGCAAATTTCACGGAACAGTTGTGTTGTACCACATGCCTGAATTAACAGGATTTTTTGATGACAAATGCTCATATCTAAAGAGTTTTTAACAGATACACTCAGGAAGAAAAACGTCATATTTGAGGTTGCGTCGCCTGGACTTACCATTGCTTACAAAAACATTAACAATTCATTAAAAAATAAAACGTATGATTTATGGTTTATTCTATAAAGATGATGCTAACTAAATGTGTAAAAATTCATTGATGTACCTAAAGCGGTTTTAATTTTATGACACTAGTCCACAAACTTTTTGATAACCCCTCGTACATGTTATTGTAGTGTATTTTATCTTTTTATTTGGTCAATGGAATTATTGAATTGAATTTAATTCTGTAGGTACCACCACCCCCATCATCTAGGCCCCCTCCACTTCCCAGAAATAGTGGATCCAATCCACAGCTTGATCGCCCCTCCCAGCCCCCTCCTCCACCAATGAGGACTTCTTCCAGTACACCTCATATAGTAACAACACAGCAAGGCAGACGACCCGGAGGCCCCCCTCCCCCTCCTGCCAGGGGACCTAATGTTGGTGCTAGCATGCAGCCTCCCCCACCCCCTGTCAGGAGGTCATCGGGGAATTACTCGGGAGATGATGGTAGGTCTAATTCATCAAGAAAAAATTGAGCCTTATTTTGAATATAATCACATGGTAATGTTCAACAGTCAAAGTCAAAATAACTTACTAAATTTAGAAAAAAGAAAGGAAAAAAAAACAGGATGTGGATTACTGTAGATCACTAAATTTTCCCGACACCTTATTTTCGCGAGATAGTCATTTACTCTTTATTAGCGAGACAGAATTTTCACAAATTGTTGTTATCCCTCTATATAATCTTAAGGAATACTATTTACGCGAGAATGAAATTTTGGCGAGCTCACTGTCTCGCGTAGTTACACGAAAATAAAGTTCCCGCAAACAAAAAGTGATTTACAGTATTTGCAATGGTAAACTGTATTCAGACAAAACAATTCATCTTACAGACAGTTACTCTGTTAACTTTGTAAAAATTATATTTTGAAGTTGTCATTGATGTTTTGTAGATT